TTTAAAGGAATTTGAGTTCTCCATCTATGTTGATAAAGTTTTTTTTGAACTAATCCCACTTCTGAAACACCACCAATTGTAAGTGGGATTGGTTAAAAAGAATAATGAATAAATAATAGAAAACGAGGGATGCTGATTTCAGAGGAGAGAGTCGATGAGAAAGAACAGAATATCTCAATCATTGGATAAAATTGTAAAAATTGGACAAATTAAAAATCATAAACCCTGAATATATCCGAATTTCTATGAATTATAAAAATCACCTACCGCCAGGAGGAAAGGGGCGGGGTTCCGTACATCTACTCAAGTATAAATAATTCCTGATTTTATGTCTTGAATGAATGATTCAATTCAATGCAGCCAGGTTTTACTAAATTAAGATCAATTATTACGAGTGATGAACAAAAAAATTTAATATTTTACTCAGTTTCGGGGAAAAGTTTTGGAGGAGGCATAAGTGCTGACTAAATACAGGTCATTAATGTCGATTTTTTAATGCCAACGTGAGAGTTGGGTTTTACGGATGATTGGGGATGAAGATAAAACAATGAGGAGAAAAAACTTCAGGTTCGGCTGGATGTGGCTACACATAATGGACGAGTGAGCAACTGACAAGCATGTGCAAATTCTGTTAACGAGGTGATAGGTTTTGTGATTGGCGGCAGGGGGAAGATGGTCCCTGGTGGGCTGTCTGAAAAATTTTCTTTTGATATGGATCCACCCTTCTTACATGGTCGTCAGAACAACATGGCTTTATTCCAATCTTCACAATATTACAAACGAAAATTTGCATGGACCTTTTGTACTGATTAATAGAAATTGTTTTGGCTGATAAAGTGATTGGTATGTCAGTTGATTCGAGTCATAGAGGAAACCAAAATTATGATCAGTAAGGAGTCTTATTGAAGCCTTTTGGGGCTCCTCACTGATACCATCAAAGTCGAATTCTGTTTATCATGAACAATACACAAGATAAAGCAGTCTCGAAGAGCCTGCAATAAATTCGTACCATCTCTCAGATATTTCATAAGGGTGGAATCCATCAATAATGCTTGCGAACACGATGCGGCGAGAGCATCATGCTCCCACTACCTTTTTCCCTCTGATGGAGGATTCACCCTGCCGGGACGATAAATAATGCGATAAAACACGAGTTTGTCAGGCTATCACGAGGGAGAAGACTCTCCACTGGCACGGAAAGCTTTTCATCCAATGTCCAAGCTGCTAAGAAAAAAAAATCGACGAGAAAACAGCATCACCCAAATTACCCGGGCGAATCAAAATTTGAAATGATCATCATCAATTCAATTGATTGTCCATAATGAGGATAATAGAATGCGGCTGATGCTTATCGTAGACTATTTAGGGCTCGCTACAGGAGTCATTCAACAAGACAAATGCTCCCCCCGGTGTTTATTGTTATAGGTCTTCCGCCATTTCGATTGGTTTTTATCGCAAACGGTAAATAATTTTCATCGCAGTGGAAGCCGAGAAATGCTTTCAAGACTACTTCCCTATAACATCCACTCCTGCGGCAACCACATAATTTTTTTTTTGCCGTCAGATGAGAGCAGGGAATCTATACGAGGGGGGGATGGAAGCATATTCATAAAATCACCGGACCGAGACCGCTTTATTTCTGGATATTTCGAGCCCTGCATGAAACTAGTCGTCACCCTCGTCGTAGAAAATGTTAGGACACATACAGTGGCTGGACCTGGAATTTATTAGGGCTGAGACTGTTGGCTACCAATCACAAATTACGGAGCAATAACTAGAAATGGTTAGGGATACGATTACGCTGTTTCTATGAGACACCGTAATCATTCAACGGGGGGTAAGTAGAAATACAAATGGAATCGATTGCATTGTGGTATTACGAGGACTTGGTATTGCTGAGAGAAAACCATCAGGTTGGGTGTTATCTCAACCAGTAAACGCTTATAATACCGAGTTGGTAGTAACACTTTGACAATACGTGGAGTTATTATGCCGTATGTAGACATGAAGGAATCGTTCCTATAACGGGGGTGAGTATGAGGGTTAAGAGGATGGGATAATATCATTTGTTTACAACCGTGACACGCGCGCGCATATAATTCCACGTATGACTTTAACGTTTATGTGAGAAACATAAAAATACTGTGTTAAGCATTGTCACGCTTGGCGAAATATTGCATTTCCTTCAGGCTCGGTTCGATAAATAAAAACGTATAATCTATGTGCCAAAAAGATACATTTATCATTCCACCGGTTTATGCATGGAGAATAAAAAAATGAGTGAATGCGAATGTATTCTACTTCTTGTATTCTGGACATCAATTTCATTATTTGGATTTTTTTTCACCGTACGAATACATGTCGAGGACCTTTTGTCGAGAGAAGATGTTTTACGATTTTTAGCTTTTCTGCTGATTTAATGGCAGCTTTTAACGACCACCAGCTTCATATGGCTGAAGTTTGTGGAAGGAGACTGTTGTCGTATTATCGAGTTACATCTAATCATCATAACCTCATGTCCAACCCGTGCCCAATGCACATGGGATTGTAAAAGTTTAATATCTATCCGGAGTTTACGATTCTATGACACATCACTCTGTATGTATTATACACTTGCTTCATGGTGAGTGGATATGTGGACAGATGACAGTGCAGTCAGGAATTATGTGATTTCTCAAATGATGGTTTATGCAGTGACTTCAGGGGGAGGCCTATAAAATCATAAGAGCATTAAATTCCATTGCAAAGTTGATCAACAATTCCCGATTTACAAAAAAATAATACCTTGATGAAAATTGCGACATCAATTCAGTATTGAAGCAGCAAAAGGTGATAAGTTGATTTTTTTGGGAAGATGAGTTGTAGACGAAAAACCTTTCTATGTATTGTAGTAAATATCTCCCATAAGCCATAACAAAAATGCAATATGTGAGTCTTAAATTATGCATTGAACAGGAGATATGTGGATACGTTTCGGATGAAATTTTTTGAAAAGTTTTGGTTTAAATGAATAAATTTTTTCGACAAAGTAATTTTTTAATTTTTAATGTTGCATGATCACGTCCAAGTGATTCTCGATTTGTCAAGAGATTTTATATTAAATCAGTTAGATAAATTCATCTCCGGGAGTTCAGGATATGTTAACGACAATTTGGCATATATTTAATTGTAAATCATCAATTCATTTTACAAAATTCAAACCGTAAGCTGTAAATAATGAAAATACTCTCTTTGCACGCTGGTAAAAATAAGATGGATCTGCCCTTTTTCCTTCAAACTTTATGCCCAGATTTTCATGTATGTGTTATTCGCTGGCATTCCCCTATTTTCCCACCCCTTCTGGTTTTTTTTTGTAGATTTTTCCCAAAATAGGGATTGGTTCAGTGTGAAAAAATATTTTGTTTTTTATTTTAATCGTTATTCAATGATTATCATTATCGAATGATGATAAAACTCAAAAATGAATCATGAAGAAATGTTAATACAAATACCGTAACCTTTACCACTCTACAGATAATTGAATTTCGAACATAACATCTTCGCATTTCGAGATAATTACTCGACTTCGCTCTGAGATACACTTGCGTTTACCAATAAATCCGAGAGCTCGTAGAATATCCCGTGAAATCACGGATATTTCAGTTATAGTTTATTATACACGTTAACATTTGGAGAGAAAAGGGGGGGTTGCGTTATAGTGTACTGTATGAATATACGTGAAAGGCTGGTTCGAGTTTGGTTAGTTGGATTTAGTTTTCGGGTTTATGTTCCTGGGGCTTCCTGAGTTAACCAACCGCGTAAATGCTCAGCGCGTTCCAACGCAGTACTTGGATCATATTCTATTATGCGATAAATATTAAACCGGATGTGTTGGCGATGGAGAGACGAAAAGGGGCAGAGGATAGCCGAGGGTAGGCGATATTAAATCTGCCTACTGTATAGATCTGCTTTCCTGAATTATTGTTATTGACTTCGTGACTGGTTTCTGCACGTTTAATGGATGTGTTTCATTTGTATTTATTAATGTCTTAATTGGGAAAGGAAAAACAAATTCGATGATATTCAATTGGCGATGGAGAATCCCCCGGAGAAGTTTGTCGATTCGTCTTGACTTGTGAAGACTTGCTGAAAGATATATTTCAACCCTCAGGGTGGATTTTTTTTCTTATAAGTCACCTTTTTCCCCTAAAGAGAACCTAATAAAGCGGGTAAACAGGGAGGTAAATGTGGACCCTTCACTCACTGCGACAAGCGAAGAAGAGGTGTAAGATTACATCCTTATCGTCTCATCCCAAATGCGACCCTCGATCTACTCCGAGCACATGGGTATTTGTTCCGTGTCACGCAATTTCTCTTGTCTATTGGTTTCGAGCCATTGCCAGGTTTTTTTTCCTACACCAACCTCTATTGACCTAATTTTCCACAGACTCTGGCCCCTTGAATAAACGAAGATAGAGACGTTTGAAGAATCAAGATATCTATTTGGTCAGAAACAACGTATTTCCGATCATTAGTCTGTTCAGGCTCAGTTGATACGCAGAATAAGAGTCATTACGTGCGCGAAAGGCGAATTGATGATGGCTTCAATTCATTTGGAGCTCCACTCACTTGCGCATTTTTCAATGTCCTTAATTATTGTATACAGGGTGTTCCGAAATTACTAATAAACATTTCGTCCAGTGGTCGATTGAGGTCTCCTCACTACGAGATAAGTGTAAAGAAAAATCTTTTCTCTCTATTTTTTTGTAACTATTAACCGTGACGTTACGTAATGAATCTTTTACTGAACGTGATTGAATTATTATTATTGCAAGAAGAGAACAAGTTAACACAGTTGAAAAACTTATTTTTTTGCAATATATATTGGAAAAATATTCTGTCCTCAAATCAAATACATTTACTATCTACAAGATAATGTATTTGACAAAAAAAATTAGTTTTCTCCCTGTGGGGGTAGAGATATAGCGAAATAATGATCATGGATTCTGTATTATTGATCTTTATTTACATTTTTTGAATGTATGTTTGTGGGATAAAATGAAACAATTTCGTATCGTCTGAATAGTTTTGCCAAATCTAAACAATTAGTACACACGTTCGCACATATTTAACGTTATCAGAGTGTAGGACCAATTGCTGTGCTCCATGATAAATTTTCCCATATTGCCTTGCAATTATTACTGTTATTATTATGTTTAATATGGTAGAGTATACAGTAGCCCACGCTCGTGTTTATTAATGGATATTCAAAGAATGGTTATTTAGAATGTATTGTATACCGTTTTCTTCTATGGCCATTATTATTTATTATGCTGAATTCTCCCTGTATATACATTACTATACAATTACTTAATGTTTCTTTTCCGATATTTCACGAGATGATACAACAACAAAATTTTGAACTAATTTTGAAGTTTAATTGAAACTAATTTGACAAGTTAATGCCATGATAAAAGCCATTATAGAAAGTACCCAGTCAACCCAAAAACTACTAATTAAAATTAATTATGGACTGAAGATTATGCGTCGACAGTATAATATAATGTCTTCTTTATGCAATAAAACAAAAAGCAACTAGACTTATGCAAGTGCAATGTTCTTCGACGGCGTATATAGAGGCTGTCCGTACATTTTCTCGTAAGTTTTTTGCTTCTCTGTAGGTAATTGCGGATTAAGATATTTGGTGAAGTCAAGAGTATAAATACGAAATGCAAGAAATCCACCGAACCATCCGTCTTTATGGCCCTTGAAGAAAAGACCAACACCTTGTAGTGGCACTGGAGGATCAAGAGTCATGTCCTGTGAGTCGAAAAATGGGACCGTTGATGAACCAGCATCTTTATCAACATCAGATGCTCGGAATTTCACAAACAAATTTTTCTCGAGGGTCGGCACATTGTTCATATATTTGGTCGGAAGATCCGGGGAGTTGAATACAATCGATTTCCTTCATTAAAATAACAATATCAATCTTTTGGAGAGGTACATTTTTAAAAAAAGTCTTACCTTGCGCTTCGTACCCCGGAATTAATCCAAGTTACTGGACCCACTATTAGAGAGCCTGATTCGTAGTTATAAGGCGCCGACAAAACTTCGATTTCAATAGGATTATTTGTCTTTTGGGATATATCGTTGACGTGTTTGAATCGCACTCCTGAAATTACCTATATTTAGCGCGCGTCTTTATTAACCCGTTGCGGTCACACGGAGTCAAGGGGTCCTGCAAAATACTTTGTGGCTATTTTAAATTTAGTAGGACTTTTATTTCATTTTATGAGATTGACCGAAATTTGTAACTTCAAACTTCTAAATAAATATATGTTTCTCAGAATTCATTATATGATTCTGAGTTTTTTTTTCAGGATTTTCGACCATTTTTGAAGAATTTTTTTCAAAGCGGCTATTGGATTTCTTAGAGGTGTTAAATTAAAGCTTGGCACAAGATTTGAGGACAGGGTATAAGCCAGGCACATAAGAATTGTACAGAATTATGTTTGTGTACAGATGTAAAAATCAAATGAAATATGCACATTTTATTGTTAAACGTGCACATTCAATTATTTACCTACGAAAGCATAAAATCCTTAGTCCACATAAAAATAATATAAATACCTATAGCAACGCGCCCCTCAGGTACTGATACGTCATCCAAGTGTAGAATATTCTGTGAACCCCTGATGAAATCGTAATCCTTCCCCATTTTCAGTTTTTCCCATTTGCCA